ATTTAATTCAGAAAGGTCTTTAAAATAATCAGTAACGTCCTTAAAAGTAAACAAAACATGTTTTCGCGAGCGCGATTTGTCCCCAACAGGCTTGTTTGAGGATAGGTCTTCCTCACCACTGTACCGGTGGTTAGGCATACAGGCAGTTTTACAAGCCACCCAAGCACCGGTGGCGAGGGCTCAAAGGGTTCACTGTACAGGAAGCAGGTATGTGAAGTATTTTACATTTACAAATAAAAGTAATAGCTTGTCCACCAAAGTCCGACAATGACCAATACATTCGTAGAGGAGAATATTTCTCCATGGAAATAGAAAAATTTGAAGAATCAAAGCTTACGATGACTTGTGACTTCTGCTGTGGCCAATGAGACCATTTCTGACAGAGAAAAGTTTACCACATTTTTAGCATCTAACAAGTAACTGTACAAATTATCGATTCAACTCTCCAACTGATTATGCCCCATTAATTTCTTTTTAGTTGTTTCCCGGTCTTATTGATAGACTTGAAAGTTTACAAATCCAGTGAGGACAAAAAATGTGCTTGCAATTTTACACAGAAATTAGCATTTAAATTACCAAACTGAGTAAATAGCGTCTTCCAACATAAATACTCAAAAAATTACATCAGCTAGCCACAAATTACCTAACAAAAGAAGGTATAATCTGCTAATAAGCCTCATATGGCTTCCATGTCTGACCCTCTAATGATGTCAACCCCTTTCTCTCCATACACACACACATATGTACACACTCACACACACACATACAAACATGCATACACACACATCTACAATCCACACACACATCTACAATCTACACACACCTTTTTCCCTTTCTCACACATAGACACATGTCGAATTGCATTCATGTACTTTCCAAACATGCATCCTTACAACGTGTTACATTCTCAAATACACGCACACTCTAAACACACATACTGTCAAGCTCATAAACAAATGACCTAACATATTACCCATTAAACATAAGTTAGGAAACAACATTGCGCTCTGAAAACACAAGCATACAGATGTGTGCGTAAGGGGATGAAAAAAGTCTAAATTTTTCAATGTGAGCTAGGCAGTATATATATGCAAGCCCTACGGCTTAAAGCATCCACAAAGACAATCTCAATAGTAATCAAAACAAAATCTTATTCTGGGTGGCTGACGAAGTGACGTTATTACTAATAACAAAAAATAAAAAGTGTAAGACAAACCAAAACCATATATGTCTGACATAACGATACACCGGTTATTTTAGGTTAAGAAGAGATTGTACATGCAAAAATGTCAAAATACAAGGTTATTCATTGACATAAATTGATCATACTGAAACAATGGGGGCTCATCAAAAACTGCTAAAAAGTGCAGACGATAAATCATTTTCAACCCACTTGTAAACTACTCAGAAAAACACAGCAATCAATGTCTGTTTAAAAAGAAAATTTAAGAAATGCATAACATCTTCCGTGGTTTTTGGCACCCTGAAACACACAAAAGTGACATCAATGTACTTTGTGGAAAAAATATAAAACAAAATCAACACTAATTTACACCACTTGGTTATCCTTGCCCAGATTGTGAGATTGTGACTGTATTCTGTACCCCTAAACACAATTTAGATCATTCTGGAGGCTCAAGTAGAACAAAACATCCAAGTAAATAAATGGAGATGCTCAATCAAAATTTAGACTTCGCCACCAGGGAACCAGACTTGTGTGGTTTTTTTAACATGATGGTGAAGAGCCTAACCATTACACCAGATATTTGGTCCACAATATTTGTACCGTGAAGAATATCAAACTGGACAGAACATTTCTGTTAGTGTTATGTTCTGTTGTTTTGCTTTAGTAAGCGTTATATGGTGCTCGCACCTGCATAAGGTCATATGAGTGAGCAGGATACATTAACCATTTTTAGTTAGGTAGGAATGATTCATTTTGAATTTTGCCTAGGATGCGGCTGAAGCCTACTCTTATCAATTTTAGACCACCAAGGGATCTTTAATCCTATCAGTATGTCGTGTTTTACTATCGTATCCATACGACGAGGTGAACTCTGTGCCACCACTTTCAAATAGAAAATTTACTCGTTAATCCAATCCCTACGCTTTGCATAGCAGTCTGTCAAAATGATTTTCTGAGAAATTACAGAAAATTTCAAAGAGATCTTTGTACTAGAAGTATTCTAAAATGTGAAGAATACAACCGCGGGGGGTAAAAAATGCCCCCAGGGTGTACAGATAGGCTTAACGTGTGCAACTTTCACAGGATCTCCACAATTTTTCGCCCTAATCTGAAACGGCTAGGTGTTAAATCTTACCTACCCTAAGATCCGGGGTGTGGCTGAAAGTCAGCAGTAAGAAGGAGCCAAGGAGCAGTAGTGCAGTGTTCACCAAGATGTTGAAAGCAAGTAGGCTGCAGTGATTACAATATATTGACACTTGTAAATCACTCAGACATCACTAAACCTAATCAGGTACACACAATATTTCTTTTCCACACAAGGGCACCCTAACAAACTTCAGAGACTGTGCTGACACTGAGAATTAAACACTTTTTCTAGGTATCCAAACCTAAGTGAATCTTTGAACACAAAATATTGCTGTGAAATTTTAAAATGTTTTATGCATAATAGAACCAACAACCACAACCATGGGGCGCATATTAAAAAAACTGAACAGCAATATTTTAAAAAATGGGACACAGAACAGACAGCGCAGGATGAAGTTATTGATGTGACCTACACCAAAGACTGCATCAAAGGAAAAATCAAGTTTCTCGTTTTGGAGCCAATCTTGACACTGAAGATTGATCTGTTTGTTCATTTTGGTAAAGAGAAGCACATCAAAACAGTAACACTTATTTATAATCAAGTAAAAAGCAAGAGAGACAAGACAGAAACAACAAAGTGAGAGAAAAGAAAAATGACCTTCCAGACTTACCCTCTAACCACTGGCACTGTTAATAAGTATTTTTTTTCTGAACTGTCCTCAAGGAAGCATAATGTTGGTGCACCAAAAAAGTGCAACAAAGACACTCTGAAGATGTCTCTGAAGGACATCAACATAAACTATTCAGAGCATAAATCTGTAGCCGGATACACCAGCCTCTGGAATTTATTATTATTACTTATCACTGTTGAAGAAACAATAGTTTTTGTTGTCTATCAACTATTGAGCAATATACCATGGTGTTTGAAGTCAAGCATGAGTGATAAAACACAATGATTTTTGTAGTCTGTCATCTAAAGGGCAATACATTACAGTTTTTGGTCTATCATTTACAATGGACTGCACCATGGTTTTTGGTTTATCAGCAAAAGTAAAATATATTATGGCTTTTGCGGTTAGTGAAGTTATTGTAAATGCAACAGCACAGCATATGCTAGGATTCATAACACAAGCGGATAGCTAGAGAACGACAACTAAACACCATTGGCTGATTTTTATAGTAACAGCCATCTTGTTTGACATCATTGAGGGATTCTCACTTTGTCAGTCATGTTGGCAACACAACCACACAACAGCATCCTGCCGACTCTGATTATTTTCTTTGCAACTTGTAGAACTGCTCAGTTCGGTCGTCTGTGATTGTGCAGCACCCTTCTTCCGCCCAGATTGATTCTGATGCTGTACACTACGTAAACTAAGAAGAAGAAGAAGACTAAGAGTAGGCCTATGTACGAAAGCAAGTTCAAACAAAGTTCAACGACGCAGCGCAAATGATCGACCGTTTCGATGCGGATCGTTTCTTTTAAAGTTTTGTAAGCAAAAGAAATTAAGCACTTACAAGAGATTGGACTCAATAGGACGCTGAGCTGCAAATGGAGTAGATCTAATTCGAGACTGCAAGGTTTGTAAATGGATACTGTGAGGTGCAAAAGTAGTAGACCTAGGGGAACAACAAGGAAAGACTCAAAGAGCGAAGCTTGGAAACTGATCGTGCAAACCTCTCGCAACACAAAATCATAATTGCTTTCAGAATCACGATCAGATGACGCGGCGGGCATCCCCCTTGCGAGGTCAAACAAGGTGGCTGTTACTATAAATATCGGCCAATGGTGTTAAGTTGCCGTTCTCTAGCTATCCGCTTGTATTCATAAACTGTTGTCATGTAGGATTTACTGCCCCCCTCCTCCATATTAAAATTTGGAATCTCAATTCAATTAAACTGTCTGGGCCGACACTAAAAGCATGCACAGCCACTGGAGATCATTTCCACATTGAAGAAAATCTAGTCTTTAAAATTTAAGACATTTAATAAATACTAACCAACATAGCTCAGTCCTTCGAAGCATCCCTCCCTCCGCCTTTCCACACAAACACACACACCCATCAACACATAAAGAAAGCATTAAAACAGAACAGAAAACGCAAAAATGAAAGAGTACATGATTTGTAACTGTAGAGTACAGATATCAGACTTAACATTATCACACGGTGAACCGGGAGTTAGACAAAAGAAGAGGAAGAATCTACTCCCAAACATTGCACGATACTCTTAAGAGGTCACGACTCTCTCCATCTGGAACGGTATAAGTTTAATACTTTTATTATAAACACTATTCCATCATTTAAAAGATGGGCTTCTGAATCTAACGCCCTTCCCCAATGAGTCCAAGCCAAATGGGTGGAGAAGTCTGAAAACTCCTACATAACCCAAAGCCAAAGAGCTGTCTTCACCTGTTTTAACTCTTTTACGAGATATGAGGAAGGCAATTGACGTAACAAACAATAAATCATAATTCAATAAATTGCAACACAAAGCCTAAAGTTAAATACAATTACTAAAAATTGCAACACAAAGTCTAAAATCTAATTCTAAAAAATTGCAAACCTCAACACCTACGGGAATCTCTAGACACCACAATGTAGAAAAGAAAAATAATAATTTTTGACCAAAGTCATACTGCATCAAAAGAAGGGTAGAAACTTTCTTTAAAAAAGTAGAATTCTAACTAAAACAAAAAACAAATAGATGACATAGACTATTAAGAAACAAAAAAAAAGAAAATTTCATTGCAATTGGACAAATTTCAAAACAACGTATGAATCCCAAAAATAATAAAATAAAAAACCAGTTTCCAAAGCTATGTCATAAAAGGTTTATTTAAATTTATGTATAGTATTTTTCTAAAGTTATCACAAAAAAACTAGTCACTACAAAATAATCCGAAATGTTCATTACATTAGACAGTAAGAACAAGCACGACTGGAGTTGCTGACTTAAAAACGTGATGACAAAGGTAAGAAGTAAAAAATCAGCAGTAGCCTGACTCATCTGCCTATCTCAGCGACAAATGCTTTGCATTATCTTAGAGAACTTTTGTAATGTGATCAATTTACGGATGATCCTATAGAGATGTTTTCCTACAAAGGCAGCTTAGTTAGTTTTCTAGTTGGTGCCACTACAGATGAACTATGTATGTGGCTGAGTTATTCTGCTGGCTCTGTTTCTTTTGATGCTGGTCCTTCTTCCATATCCTCAAGATCTGCTTTAGAAATTTGTTCAAAATCATCCTCATCATCATCTTCAGAGGATTTGTCTTCATCTCTGCTCTCCTTGTCCACATCATCAACACCATAAGTTGGAGCAGTGCTACTTACAAAGCTCATGATTTTCTTAGAAAGAGCCTTGTGCTGCCTGATAAAGGAAAACAACACAAGATTCAAATAAGAATACCATAAAAATATTAGACTTGGAGGACAAAACATAAATCTTGGATTACTAAAGATAGCGTAAACACTGCGCGTAAGCTGACTAACGACCCCCTAAGCAGGTGGTTTCGGTGAAAACAGTGCAACTCAGAATGCTGTTTCTTTGCTCTGTCGCAAATAAAACCAAATGCTGTACACCATGAAGAAATTCATATTTCCCTTAATACAATGGTGTGTGTTGTTTGTATGTGTATGTGTGTATTCGGAGGTGGAGAAGTGCCAGGGACAGTAAAACCCCTTCTAGTCATAACGCAAGGTCAGCCATTTAAACAAAATTGACATCTAAGCATTCGAATGCTTGGCAAAAAGATTGACGATTAAATGTGAGGCAGCGAGGTGATAACAGGCGCTCTTCATAGTAATAAGATTGAAGACCATTTCCCCGCTAGTTTGGCTATTTTTATCGAATATTTCTTTTTGGCTCAACATCTTTTATGTCCATTCAAGGACACATTTCTGTCAGGATTTTACTGAAAAAAGTTGATTAAAAGCACAAAACAAGTAAGTTTTCAGTTATCAATATTTTTTTTCCTCAAAGGCAAGACAAATGAACTAGATCTTAGTTTTAGTAAGGTTTTACGGTGTTCGCAACTACACAAACAAGGCACCCCAGAAATAGCAGTTCACAAGAGAGTGACAAACTTACAAAAGAAGTAGAGGAAAAATGACGATAGTGGAACTAGCTTTTAGTTGATACCAATAACTCCACATGCCCAACAATTGATGAGCGGCTGATTCCACCACGGTGTGACACAAATACTGTCTTTTAATTGGCAAAGCACTAACGAGCTTTCAAAGGCGCATTCAGAGGTATATTTTCATCCTTTGGGTTTTAAAAAGAAAGCCTTTAAAATAGCATTACAGTTTTCAAAAATTATTTGCAGAATAAGAATACCATAAGTAAAATCCTTGCTAAAAAAAGGCACCAATAGAAAGATCAGCTCATTTTCTATTGAAATTAAGTCTTCAACTTGAGTTTATTTCCCATCAATTCCTCAAAGAAACTCTGAAAGTATATGACCCCACCAAGAGGAGCAGTCTGTACACCACAGTACAAAGCAAAATCACTTGGCATGGGTGCCAGTGTAGTGCCAGCCAGGACAGGGGCTCCGAGTTCTTGTCAAAATAATGACAAATCTGCATTTTTTGAGGCAATAAAATACTGATTTCCCATTATCATTATCTCAGTCTTGAAAAAAATTATGCTCCATCTTTATGTTATTGTGATTGTCCTCTGTTACTGTGTAAATGTTTGGTGCAATTGACAATTTTATTACCTGTCGAACATAGGGTTGCAGCCAATTAGCGACTTTTGAAACATTTTGATTATACTAAAACTGACTGAGAGGAAAAAGAATGTTACCAAAATTCTCAGGAGACAATGGCTTTTCCCCTGGAACAGATATATTTATCATTCAGTTACTTTGAAAATTTAGTTTCTTGTACCCAAATATTTTTTTCAATTTCCACCTTACTCAAAACAAGGGAATTGACAATGACAATCAACATCTTTTTCACCTAAACAGTGTCATGTCAAATGTCAGTCTTTAAGTCCCATTTATAAACCCTCCCAAAACATTTGTCTTTTAAAAGGCCTCCTTTTGTTTAATTTTTGTTTTAGTGGAGGTTTTACGGAGCTCGCAAATGCATAAGGTCATATGAGCGTCAGAAGATTAGAGGTGTTACAAGAGAGTTATAAACATAAAAAAGAAGGAGAGGAGATAAGGATGATAGATGTTTGATAGGAAAAGAGAAGCAAACCACACCAGAGCACCCGGCAACCACCCATTAGAGGTCTCCTTGAACATGCAATAATTTTCAGAACAGAGGCTCAACTCATAACGTTGAAGTGAAAAGAGATGTTCATGACCAGCTTAACAGCAAATGACTGTCCTGGGATGTACTCATTCTCAAAATGACAAGTAAATCCTTTAAAGGGAACTTACTCAATTGGATCTGTAGTGAAAATTTCTGTGATGCCAAGCTGTACTCCAGAATACAAGGACAGGGCTACTTGAAATGATCTTTTGCCTGCATCTCCTCCTTGTTCTTCAATTTTGACGTCTTTTATATCTTCAAGCTTGACAACAACTGAAAGTGATATGAGGTCCAATCAAAGAAATGAAAAGGGGAAAAGAAAACATTTTACATCCCAGTGAAAAAATTATGAATAAAATTTATAGGAAGCAAATATCACTCCACTCAGCATCCTCAAACAATTCTGTAAACACATCATTATTTTTATAACATCAGGACAGCAACTCTGTCTTGGATCAAGGTGCATCTCATCTCTCTGTGATCAGCCACCTGAAAGCTAGGATGTCGCTGACACTTTTACATTGTTTGTGAGTTTGTTTTCACTAACCCCCTAAAGCAATCATCTCTTTAGGTGAATGTGACACAAGTTAAGAAGTAAGACGTGGCCCCTCATTGTAAACAAATCTGTGACCTAAAGGTCAAGTGTTCCATATCCACAAAATTTGGTCCTATGAAACCCCAGGAAATGCAAGAAAATGGCATAATATAATTATGTCATTAAGTAAAAAGTAGTGCAAACAATGGACACTCACAGGTCAGGAAATAGCACAAATTTTCCTACGGTTGTTCTGAACTTAATGAATAAAGGCCTCAGCCAGCTGTTTCCATATGATATTTCAACATTTGCTATTTGCTATCAAATATTTCACGTTTCATTATACTCATAAACCTTTGACAACTCTGAACAGGCATAGGTGGGAGCACAAATCAACTGCTCAGTGTAAAGACTCCACCATACTTTTGGGGTTTTTTTTGGTCATATGTTAGTTTTCGTTTTAGTAGGGTTTTTATGGCACTCGCAACTGCATAAGGTCATATGAGCGCTGGTCATAGGTTACTTTTTAAAATGGTACATGACCAAGTCTTACACTAAGCAGTTGAAATGTGAGAACATTTTACTATTTTAATTAATTTTTTACTGCATACCCAATTTATCCATGCTCTAAAAATGTTCTATACACTTTCCAACAATTATTACCCAAGCAGACCCAAGAACATTCAGAAACATTTTCGGCTTCCCAGAAAGCATACAGTGCAATTCAGAACTCGAACATTAACAATCTGACAAGATCTTTCACTTTCTATAGAGGGGAACCCATTCCCACCTGGATGAAGTGAGGATTATTATATAAAGAGTGCCTTTCCCAAAGACACGAGGCCAGGCCCCTGGCGTGGTTTAAACCAATGACCTTTCATGTACCAGTCTAACCACTGTTTTTATGATTACAGAAGATTAAAACTGACTTAGATGTATATTTCAAGCCCTTTTTACCCCCCATCATTTTCCTGGCTGCTCTTAATGCATGAAGAACTTCACTTACACAATTTTCACCCATGCATGCTTTCAACGCTATCTTCATCCGTCCCTTCTTTCAAGGCAGTAAGCACCAGGCTAAATGTTAACGTTACTTACTGTATGGCTGCATGCCTACATCCAACAGGTATTGAAACCAGTGTAGACGAGACAGACGCACTTCTCCTTGTTCTTTGTCAAATTCGCAAATCTGTCGATAAAACAGAGAGGCAACAATTTGATTGTTAGAATCTACAGTCAAACCTACTTTAGCAGTCCCCTGTGGTCACATACTGCAAAGGCCATCATTCTGTGACACCTTTGAGCTTTTGTTATATTTTTTACCTAATCCATAATGATCCCTGTCCAATAAGGCCATGGTCTGTCATTTTTGTGACAAGTCAGCCTCAAAACCTGCTCATAGCGGTCACTTGTTATGAAAGTCTTCCTTCGACCTGTCCCCATGCTCATCCTAGACTACGCATTACCTACTAAACAACAGGGGGTGGGACTTAGTGCAGTGTTTACAATTGACCCAATGATATGCTGATATATGCAAGTGTCCAATAACTGAGCACATTGCCGTTGTCCATACTTTAGGCAACAGCCAGTAATATAACCCTCTGCTGCTGATCTGAGTAAATGTCATCCAGTCATATAACATACAGTGCGCAGTATTGTCTCACAGTGGTTGCCTCATCATGGTCTTTTCTGTTTATTGGTTGGTTTTCTCTTGTGTTATTTTGTTTTAATGACAATTTTACAGGGTTCTTTGAGTCTGTTGACAGCATCTTTTTTTTGTTTACAGCTCGTATGTTAGATGACAATTTTGATGGACATAAAATTGGAAAGATAAAATGAAAGCGTGCAATGTTGGGAACTCAGAAAGGAAAGTTTCGTTTGAGCCTGTGCATTGATGTTGGTGGTTTACATATTGTACCACACCACAATTTATTTCCAAACATTTAGTAAGTGATCATAGCACAGACCCTGTTCACAGTGGCCACTTTTCTAAAACAATCACTTTTTTCTGTGATTTTGAGAGACCATTATGGACAGGATCAACTGTATTTATTTGAATGAAAATACTTTTTTCCTAGATAGTCCTGAACATATGTTACAGGCACACAGTAATGGTTTAAACCGACGAAAATTTTTCTCTTTTTAGTAAACAAGATCTTTTTCTTTCTGTCAATAATTTTTTTTTCCTCTTTCTGTAATGAAAGAGTTTTCTTTTTCTGTCAAGAAGATTTTACATTTTCAGGCGAGAGCATTTTTCTCAACTTTGAGCTTTAGAGGGAACCAGTTGCTCTCCCTTCAAGATGCCACATTTTGTATCTCAGTGATTCAGTCTAACACAAAATGAAATTACAAAAAAATTGCTGTAAGAACATCACTCCAAGCCAATAAAATGAACTATGGACAACCTGGAGTACTGTTTTGTAGATAATAATCCCTCCTTATAAAAAGAAGAAAAAATGTAGCTAAAGCATTTCAATATGAAACATTTTAAACTAAAGTGAATTCAACACTTCAAAATACTGGACTTGAGTCTACTATAAATGAATAATGCATGTTGTCACCAAAAAAATTGTAGGTAATATCTACATCCTACTAAAATGATAACAGCTCATTCATACCATGACAATTTTAACTTTGGTACTGTTTTGAAACAAAAGTGGGAAATTTTTTATCAATACTACAAAAGCTCAAAACAAACATGTCATATCTAACCTCATAGTTATCAACCATAAAGAAGCTGAGCCCCACTGTGACAAGCCCAATCAACACCTTGAAAAAACATGATTCTGAAAAAAAAAATGAAAAAAAGATGAACAGGGTGAACAAAGATATGTCAAAGGCCTTCCATTACATATCATGCACATCAAGTGACTGGGAGCCGCACTCTCACTCTAAAAAAGCAGAGCATTTATATAAAATAAAATTTTCAGCTGTCCTGTTTATCACTTTTTTTCTTTTCTATTTAATTTTTGTCAACAGAGCTTTTCAGACCGCAATGAATTTTAAAGATGGAACTCTGACGAATGATGATGTGCTATTTGAAGAGACATTATAACAAAATGTTAAAATAATATGGGGAGTCTTCCTCCTAAAGAAGTGAAAACAGGCAATCTATGGCACTTCTACTGTTCTCTAGAAATAGATGTCTGGACCAATGTCTACACGTTATAAGTTGCAATAAACCCTCTCAAAATCATGCATTACTGACTTAACAGATTTTTACATAAAATTATCAAAACATTCTGAATGTAGGACTGATAATTACCAAGTAATCAGATTCTAACATACAGAGTGAAAAATTCAAAGTACAGGTTGTAACAACATATTGACTACTACTGACATTGGGATACTCAAGCAAACTGACTCTGCAGTGGAGTCAGACAATAAGAAAGAAGGAAGAAGAATCCCTTTGTGACGATTCAGTAATTATGTAACAAATACTTTGACACAACTGCTCAAAAACTTCAAGCTAGCTACAACAGGCTTCATTAGTAATCATGAAATTTGAAAAAAAAGACAACTTCCTTTTTCTAAGCCCCTAAGATTTAATGTACAATTATTACTTTTTAACTCCACAATGTCAATGACATTCTAAGACAGTTTATGTTAATTTAGTAGGAGATGAAGAATGTTTACTTTGGCAAGTATGAAAGGGGCCAGGCCGTACTAGACAAATAAAAGCAGTAATTTCTTGAAATATGTACATGATACCTGAGCCGAAAAGGAAAACACCAATGACTCCTATCAGGAAACCTGGTGATGAAAAAAATCCACAAATAAACATAAATTTGCACAAATACACATGCACCCTAATAATTACATACTACCATAAAATATAAGTCATGCCTGCCATGATTTGTACAACAGGGTTTTTAATTCTAAAGTTTAGTAAGTACATTTTTAACACGACCACTTTTTCCAAACAGTTTATTTTTTCACTAAAATATGTGAAACTCACATGGAATTAAGACAGCAATTCCCTGACAGCATCAGAGGAGAGATTCAGCCCTCACATTTGTCAGTCTCAATAGTTTAATTCATAGAATATCTAACAGACACCTTAATCCTAGAAAAATATTAAAGGCACCATTGCCTAAAAAATAAAAAACCTCCTGCACTTACCAATGAATACAGCCTTTGACAAGAGTGATGGCTCTCGAAGTAGCTTCAGACGAGTATCTGAGTCATGAAGTACACTCATGTACACCATGATGCTGATATACGATTATTATGCTCCACTGCGAGTTTGTACTACTATGGCGTGAACTGAAATAAAAAAAATAACAAGATAATGTAAACAAGTCTAAGGGACCCAAGGCATCCTAAATAACAGAATACTGCAAACATACCTGAATGAAGTGAGGAAAATTTATGTAAAGTGCCATTCCCAAGTACACAGGATCAAGCTTCTGAAAGAGTTTGAACCCATGACTTTCAGTTGCTAGCCCAACAGACTAACCACTAGAATACTGACACTGATTTAAAATCAGACTACTTTTAGGGCTTGTAATTTTGACAGTGCATCATTTATAAGCATTCATGCTCATAATACTCCGCCTAAGATCCCATCGCTTATGGTCCCAGTTCGCCTAAGATCCCCCTGTTTTGGAAAAACAGAATCTTTACTATATATATATAAGTCACCCCTAAGATCCCGCACTGAAGGAGCTATATTGGCTAAGATCCCGTTTTGAAGGTCATAATTTAGGAACCTGTGCGCACTCAGCTGATCAACCAAGTACCGATAATGTGTGATCATTGTACGGTCCGTCGTGTCACGGATCATTCACTCTCATGAAAGCAATCACACCTCTGTTGTAAATCTCGAAAAGCGGTTACCATGTTTACCCCATACGGGATCGCACCAAGGTGTGAACTCGTCGATGCCTTGCTTTCCCCGATCACCTGAGCCGTCTGCCTGATCTTACATCACACACTAGGTGTGGAGGGCCTACAAGCAATCATCAGACTGCATTCTATCAAACTGTGAAGTCGTAGATGTTTATGCTTTCCCGAACATCGCTCTTGTCTTTCAGTTTTGCGCTATAACTTCCCAGACAGACTGGCGCCCATATGCGACTTTCGAGGACTGTCCGATCACCTCTGCATAATGGGGTCATCAGTTGCTAGTGAATCTGCCTTTCAATACTTCGTTTAAAAAAAATTAGTCGGTGTTGTCACCACAAAACGATTTACGATGCATCATGACATGAGCAGGGAACTCCGTTAGAGATGGAAAGCAATATATTTTTGGTGGGGGGCATTGCTTGAAGCCAACTGGTTCCCACCTGACACTGTATTTTTTTAAAAGCCCCACCCCCACCCCCAAACAACGAAAAAAGGAAAAACTGACATCTGAAAAGAACTTTAAGTGCCCAGGAGTTACGTCAGTTCATTTCAAAGTAAAGGAAGATCATTCATGGGCCTGACCATGAATTTCTATGGATTCTTACCCCTGGCCATTCGGTTAAGATCTTGGTTCACCTAAAAACCAGCATATTTCATGCTCCCAAGCATCGGGATCTTAGGCGGAGACTACTGTATGATGTGCATGTCAAGTAGTCATTGTCAATTGTGTTGTGATTGTGATAGTATAAAATGTCTGTTTACTACAGTTTGATGTGTTATACCCAGTGCCCATTGGCACGATCGGTTCAGTTTGTACAAGCAGGGCTAGCCAGATAGAGGGTGAAAAGCGACCATCGTTGCACAAACCGATCGCCCGACTGGCGGCCTCAAAACCTAAAAAACAAACGCATTTCTCTTAAAGGCTGCAAATCGGGCGATCTTTTAGTATTAGTTAGAGAACCTATCCAACAATGGGCACTGGGTATTTCTTATAAGCGTAAAATCTAATACGGAGTGCCCATTGGGGGTCGAGGCGGTATGCTAGCGAGATAGAGGGCACAAAGCGGTTATCCTGGCACAAGCCGATCGCGCCCGAATCACCGCCTCCAGGTGACGAGGGGGGGCGATCGCCCTCGACCAGCCCGACTCGATCCCATCTGCAATGGGCACCCCGTATAGAAGGTTTAAAAGAGCATGTATGTTAGTATGTATGCCCATTCACGCACAAGTATTTTAAGTGTTAGATGAAGGAGGTAATGTAAACCTTGAGCTGCACTGAACATTGAACAGGAATGAGTGCTGTACTGTGATGATGATACATGCAATGGCTACATTCATGGCGCCATGAATGTAGTCTGCAGGCTACATTTACGGCACCATGAATGTAGCTGGCAGGCTACGTACACGGCTCCCTGAATGCAGTTTGCAGGTGCTGTTGATGCTACAATCACGGCACTAAAGCTTCGTTTACGGGAAGCGTCCACTGTCGGTTTATGTCAGCCGATTTTAGTCAGTGAGGACAGTGACGTATATTTAATATTTTGGCCAGCTCCAAGAGAGATGAACGAAAACAAAGCACCCTTACAGAATTAAAGTTGGGGGGATATGGAAAAATGGATACGGTACATGATGGGAAACAAGAGGTGAGAGAAGGGAAACAGAAGGTGGAATTCGGAAGATGGGACTGGTCATAAAATATAAGTGCAATAATGACTGTATTGTACCGGGTCAGCTTAGGAACGGAAAAACATAATTCATAACAAATACCCTCTCTCTCTCTCTCTCTCTGACTGTCTGTCTCTCTCTCTCCCCTTTCTCTTTCTTTCTTTCTTTCTGTCCCCCACCCTTCTTTCTCTATTTTTCTCTGTCTGTCTGTCCGTCTCTCCCTCCCTCTTTCTCTCCCCACCTTCTCTCTCTCTCTCTCTCTCTCTCTCTCTCTCTCTCTCTCTCTCTCACACACACACACACACACTGCCCGCAGACAAAATTGCACACTTTTAACTCACGAGTGCTGGAACGTTTGTTTATACTCGTATCTATCACGGGCCGTCACGCACTAACACAAGGTCGCGCACAAGTCTCGCCCAGATGCGAGATAGGGCAATTGGAACATCTTGGTAGGCGTATAATTTGTATTATATTGCCAAGCTCTGAGCAAGAGCTCAGTGTAAGGGAAAACGATGAATGGTCGATCGGTCAAGGATCACTGCTTCCTTTTCCTACATTTAATGGGATAGAACGCTTGAAGCAAGCCAAAATATTAAATATATACGCCACTATGTCGTCACTGACTAAAACCGGCTTACTTAAACCGGCAGTGGATGCTCCCTCTAAATGAAGCTTGAGTGCCATGAACAGTGCCTCTACAGTGCTTGCAAGCTGCATAGGCGCCGTGAACGTAGCCACTGCATATATTATAGCCTAATAATATATAATTTAAAGGGGGAGAACTTCCATAACGAGCGACCACTATGAGACAGAGCAGAATTTAGGGCTAGGGGAAGGGGTAGATCTAGGGGTAGGGGTAGGGGTAGGGCTAGGGCTAGGGTTAGGCCTCTTCTTTATTGTGTTTGATGGGGTGGTCGCTCGTTACGGAAGTCCTTCCTTATATGATGCATTAATTATCAATATAATACTAGATCTAGGTAAGCCTATTATTATTATTTTATTAAATTAGATCTAGATTTAGAAAAATAGACCTCATTTTATTATCGGTTATCATCATTATTAAGGAAAATAAAACAGTATCTCTAATAAAAAATAAAGCATCCAAGGTACAGGCTGCAGTTACTCACTGATACTTGTTGATCCCTGTTGATGATGTTTGCAGTGCAGAATCTGATCTGAAAATTTCAAGTCACAAGAAGTCTTCTCAATGGAATCAACGCTCACGGTCTTTTCGATTCTTTGTGACCTGCACCTCTAACAGTACACTAGATCTCTAGATCTAGATATCTGGTCTAGATCTAGATCTAGATCTAGATCTAGAACAGTTCTACTGTCAGAAGTGTTAGTTCGACGTAATTCCCCTGCCCTAGATATCTGGTTTACAATTTCACTAAGATTCACTTACAGAAAGATAGTACTATTATTGTCTCCACAAACCAGAAAAGAACCCAATACTTCTAAATCAATATTAAATGTACTCCTCTCGAGAATCGCAAAACCCAACTGTAATTGTAATACGATGCCAAATGGGTTGAAAAAAACACAAAAACAAACAACAATAAAGGGGTTACAGTCAAAGTCGGTTAACTTGTTACTATTTCTTACTAATGTTTACAAACATCCGTCATCCGGGCGATACTCTTTGGAAGAGAAGATCAATAAAACATGTGAGGCTTGATCAAGGATTACAAACAAGCAAGGAGATTGTTAAGCTCCTTGAAAAGCCCCCCCCCCCCCCCCCCCCATGATTTTGGCTAACTTAGTCTTTTAATGTTAAATTCAAATTGGTCTATTTTGTTATTATCAAACACCGCGAGACACGTTACAAGGCAACATGGAGATGTTTTGAAAGAAAGTAACCCAAAAAAAAACTTTCGGCACGTCAAAGTTTATTCATGATTAGTTGTTTTTTTGGGTCAAGATACGATGAGTGATAGTGATAGGCCTATCATAGACACGACATTCTCGTTCTAGTGTCTGTGGTGATATACAGTACATCGGTTCATCGAAACTGCAGGAAAATTAATGATTGACTTCTAATATCAAATATAGCAGTCTCCAGATTATTGATTGTATTGATGGTTGTCCTCCACTCCATCAAAAAAGGCGAAACAAACATGAAACAAAGAAGCCAGACAAACAAATAAGGTTTGTTCGACTAGATTAAGCATACATTAATATCATAGTGGCTACACTCCAGCTAAAGGACAATAGTGCTTGATAACACAATAAAGTTGTTGTTTTTTGTTATTATCATTAATATAGTAGGGCACCCTAGCCTAGTATTTAAAGGCCATAAGGCTCATCTAGAAAATAAATTATTATCCTCCAATATATGGTAACAATATATATGGTAACTACAGTTACCATATCTCCAGAGTATCTTTTTCTTGTTTATTCAAGTCTAAAACATGTTGATGCAAAGACTTTTTCTTTTATTTGCCTTTCCTAATATCAAGAAGACAGGCAAGTGCTAGAGAGTTATTTCAACCAAAAGCGATACACACCAGTAGTGCGAGAGAAGGGAAGTTCTGTTCCCCGAAAGAGCCTCGTAAGCAAGGGGGTGCACTCTTCGAACAAAATAGTTTCCAACCTAAACAACATGGCCGAAATCATTCAAACGGTAAGTCAATTAATTTTCTTTTTCCCGAAACTGCTTTTTAAATATTATAAATTTCAAGTTCTGGTCATTTGATTCAGATAATGCGTCGCTTTCCATATACCCAGTTGGTGTAATAAAATCATTTTGTTCAGGATGAGAAGACATTTAGAATCTAGGGTAAACGAGGCAAGAGTGGGTTGAGAGAGAGAAGCCATTCAATATTCAATTTCTTTTGCTGGATTCTGGTCCCCTATTTCCCATCCAAGCGGTGTGTCGTTTGTTCTTTAAATCCATTTTTTTTTACACATAACCAAAAGAATTTGACTAATTACAGAAGGAAATGTGCTTTGCAAGGGGTTTGCAATTCCTCATTTGGAGGCTCAAGAAGAACTTTTAGAATTTTAGCACACTTTGTGTAGTGCAACAAGCTGAGACTTGCCCACCACTTGCTCCCCACACTTTTCATTTTCAGAACTTCATATATGCTTTAATATTTTATACAATCAGCATGCTCCCTGATTTGTATTGACAACTATTGTCATGTATTGACAACTATTGTCATTTCATTAGACAGACTGCTTATTATTCTTTTATTTATTTATTTACGAAATGAATCACAATTTATAACCTAGGATGAACTAGATTCTAGATCTAGATCTAGAATCTAGATCTAGATCTAGATTCTGGATCTACTCTGCATTGGCCTCAGCATTTGAAATGAGAAGAAAGGCAACGATTTGATTAGGTTTATTATTAAAATGCCATCATGTGAAATACACTTAGAAAATGTAAGCGCTATGGCTCAAATTCTACTAGATCTAGATCTAGATCTATTTATATTCAAAGCTGCCTGTGTCATATTTCTTTGTGTCTGCTTCTTAAAATCAATAATGGTTTTGAGGGGGTTAAAAAAAAGGCCGGAACTATTTTTCCGAACGTTCGGGAAAATAAAGCTGGGCTCTATTTCTCCGAACGTTCGGGAAAATAAAGCTGGGCACTATTTCTCCGAACGTTCGGGAAAATAAAGCTGGGCACTATTTCTCCAAACACTCTGAAAGCATATCCTCTCCCGCAAATTTCGGATATACATATATAGATCTATAATTATGTTATAGGCCTACCAAAGATAGTTCATATACAATATGGTTCATTCAGTCCAAAAAGTGTCCACAGTAAATATTTACATAAAGAAATGCTACAGTTCCAAACAGTTTTTCGCTACAGATATATGACGTGTTGCCTATGAAGGGTGGTGCTCTTAAACTTAATGTGTTGTGTTCACTCGTGTGCTGTCTAGATCTAGATCTGCAAGCTATGGAGGGCTATTGATAACGACACATAGAACTAGCATCTGCGTTTGTCGCGGCCGCGACCAATCAATGGTGGCTCGATTTTTTGGCATTTTTGGGGTCCCCAAATCGGGGAATAAAAGTCAAATGAAAAAAAAAAATTTTTTTTTAAAGAAACAGAACCTCTTTACTTTTGAAAGAAAGTTCACTTAGCTTCACTTCGTCTCTTTCTCACTTGTTGTCACTGCGTTGATTTGTTGAATACGTTACAGTTACATACAATTTGTATTGCTGTTCCTCTTTTATTTTTCCATCTTTGTGGTGATTTATGTTGTTGGTGAGTAATTTTTTTTTTTCTTGTTATTGTTCTGATGTGTTGTTTTTCTATTAATTTTTTTTTTGTTGGGGAAAAGAGAGAGGGGGGGGGGGGAATGTTGTATAGTGTAACGTCATTTAATTTGATGTTCTTACCTTCATTAGATTCTATATATGTATATATATTTAAATGTGTCAGAGCGTACCGCCAAAACCAATTACCTGTACTGACACTGGCAGGCCCCTTGTGTGTGATTCCATAATTTACATGTAATACCTTTTACTTTTTTAAAAATAACGCACATTTAGGGTTAAAATAGCCAATCTTCTTAGGACAGGTCGACATACGCCCTTATTTGTTAATTTTTGTGATTGTTTATGGGCTGTTCTAATTTTGATTTCATTCTGTTGTGAAACCTTTCTTTTTCCCGTTTTTACACTCATCTAAAAATCTCTGACTAGCTCTTGAAAATTGAAATAGATCTAGACCCAAAATTTGCTCCTTCCCAGACCTCGCAGAAAGGCAGAATGAAAGTTGACGCCGAACTCTCGCAAATAGGCAAAAAAAAATCACGAGACCGGAAGCCGGAAATCGTTTGGAGAAATAAAGATCGGCACTATTTCTCCGAACGTTCGGAGAAATAGTCACTTCGTTAAAAAAAAGGATTCAGCTGAAAAAAAAGGCTTTAATCCCTCGAACAAGCAAATACAAAGTACTTTGAATGCAACAGCATAACCGTCTAATGTTATTTGTTTATAAATATACATCTGATGACTTCTTTGTGTCAATTTTTAGAAGAAAACACATGTACTCTTCCAATTTGAAAAAATCAAACAAAGGTAGCTTTCCATATTCCTAAAAGCAATACAGAACTGGATTTTCATGATTTTAGAGTTAACAAATGTATGAAATTGTATTGTTCAATTGATATATAACATTATAAAATACTCTAGAATTGGAGTCATTGCTAATACCTAATTCCCGTTTAAAAAAAATAAATATGAGTGTCTTCTGTTCATCAAAAACTGCAGAGATAAAGCAATGGGAATCACCAAAACATTTGTTCGATTGGTGGGGGAGGGGGGGGGGAGCATAATGGCTATGAGTGGTGTTAGTGAACTCAGGCTCACAATAATGTTAAGAGCAGATCTGTGTCATGGCCTGACATTTAGAGGGGTACTTATTTGCACTGTGTTTACTTTTATATATTTTTTTTGCATACATAGGCCACTCTTTTTCTTTTTAGCGTTTTGCCCATTTCATTTTTGCAAACATATTAAATTCACAATTTGAGTTGCCCAGTGACATATGTACATTTTTGGGGGTTTCATTATGCAGTTGTGCTCCTTTTAATATTTCAGTACCAACTTGGCAGTGGATTTCTTTATAAAAAATTACGAACATGGGACTCAAGGAAAAACTAAAAACAACCCGATATAATATATAGGTCTAGTAGGCACTGGAAAGTGTTCTTGAACAAAATGCAATAACCCTAACTGAAAAACAGAGCACCGCAGAGGCATTAAATAAAATTAGATACCTACTTGTGAAGAATAATCTTTCATTTTCTAAGTCTAAAGCCTTAACAATCAGCTGTAAATTAGTCCTCTAATTTCATGTTAGTTTACAATTGTATCCTATTATCTAGATTTGATGTTTCCTCCATAATATGTTTAAGAACTTGCCTCTCATTGTATAGACAGTGTTAGTTAAACACATTAAAAAGATTTCACATTCTTAGACAAATAAGTATATTATTATTGCTGATCCCATAATCCACGAGGATTGTAGGGGTGCAGTATGATAGAGAGCCTCGTTAGGAACTTCCACTCTTCACGTTTTTTTCCGAACGCCTGAGTTTGGGCAAAGGATTTTCCTGTCCACTCTGCAATGTTGTTGGCCCACCTCTTTCTTTGCCTTCCTCTCTTTCTCCACTCCTGCACCGTTCCCTGAAAAATGGCCCTGGATAGGCCACACGATCTTGCTACATGACAATACCATTCATTTATTTCTTTGCTTCACAGTAGACATTAAGTCTAAATAGTGGCTCATGTGTTGTTTCACTCTACTGTGCACTTCCTCATTTGTGATGTGGTCAGTGTTTGTGATACCAAAGAGTCGTCTATAGCATCTCGTTTCGGCTGCTCGAATCTTCCTCTGCAGCTCTGCCGTCAAGGTCCATGATTCACAAGCATACAGAAGGATAAAGATGACAAGGGCATAGAGTAGTCTGATTCTGGAGTTGGCTGAGATGTTTCTGTCTTTCCATATTTGTCTTAGTTTTGTAAGTGCCCCCGTTTTTTTGTGCAATTTATCGCATGGACTTCAGGCTTGGATCCTTCCTGGCTGATGACAACACCAAGGTACTTGAACTGGTCGACAGTTTCAATCTGTTGACCATTAACCGTAATTTTGGTTTTAATTGGTTCGTCACTATTTCTCATCATCT